TTAGCATACGAATAACAGTCACCCGATTGTTATTCACAGGCTTACAGAAAACCCATCATTTTTGGCTAGCATTATTTTAGTGAACTAAAACCCCATTGTAGTCATGCCAAAATAACTAAACTAGAATCAATTTCAAAACACAAAATTATTTTCAGATGAAATTAAAAAAGAAGTTGAAGAGGATGAAGAGAAAGTGGAGGAACAGGATGAAGCAAAAGAAAAAGAAAAAGAAAAGAAAGAGAAAAAAGACAAAAAGAAAGAAAGCAAGAAGGAGAAGAAAAAAGAGAAAAAGAAAAAAGTAAAGGACAAACAGAAAGACGATAGTGAAAGTGAATATTCATCCGAACCTAAATCTAAACCTGCAAAAGAAGTTCCAAAGAAGGGCAAGAATCGGAACTACCGACGTCGTTCTCCGTCGTCATCTTCCGATTCCGAGGACAGCGCACCAGATCTCTCGGTGGATAAACGTAGACGCTCGACATCACGCGACAGACGACGACCACCACCCTCGCCGCGAAGGAGGGAGCCTTCACCACGAAGACGTAAACCTTCACCAAGAAGGGAGTACTCCCCTCCACGAAGAAGAGACTTCTCCCCTCCACGCAGGAGTCCACCACGCCGAGGTCGGGAACCACCACGTGACTTGCGTCGCCCCCGACCGTCTTCCGAAGATGACTCGAGGAGACGACGTCAAGCGTCACCACCAAGGCAACAGAAACGAGAAATATCGCCATCAGTTGAATCACCTCCTAAGAAACGAGCAAGAAGTCCTTCTCCTAAACCTAAACCTCGCAAGGGCTCGTCTTCCTCTCGCTCACCCTCACCCCAGAAACCTAAAACGAAAAAGAAAACTAAAAAGGAACGCAGCTCCTCCAGCTCAGCATCAGAGAAGTCCCCCTCTCCCCAACGTAAGCAGTCTCCTCAACCCAGAAAGAAACAGAGAGAGGAGAGCCCACCTCGAAAACTAAAACGGGAGGAGTCACCAGAGCGTGCGAAGAAACAACGCAAGGAATCGCCTCCTAGTCGTAAAAAACAAAGAGACGAGTCGCCTGCAGACCGTCGTAAAAAAGTACGTGAAGAGTCGCCTCAGAACCGTAAGAAGCGACAAGATTCCCCTGAAGCCCGCCAAAAACAACGCGAGGATTCAGCTGATGCCCGCGGTAAAAAGCGCGATGATTCGCCAGATGTTCGCAAAAAACAGCGGGAAGAATCGCCTGAAATTCGTAAAAAGCGTGATGCTTCTTCGCCTGAACGTCGTGTAAAGTCGAAGGATCGCGGTGAGTCACCGGGCAGCGACGAAGATAATCGAGAAGCTACGCCGCAGCCCGCAAGGAAGAGTCGTAGATCACCGGAATCTGCTCAGAAAGTGAAATCAAAACCAGAGGAGTCTGCCTCACCTGAACGAGAGGCTGAACCCTCCAGAAGGTCTCCGTCAGCTAGTCCGGAACAAAAACGAGAAGAGAGTTCACAATCTGTTGATGTGTCTGAGAAAGAGCGTGCAGGTTAGAGGTTTCTTTAGTATACGAGTCGTTAAACAACCATTATAATTCTCTGAGGTAAAGGAGCTTTTAGAACAGATTGTTTGACTAAAGATATGTGAATACGAAACAAATATCAATCGGCGTACATGTCCCCAAAAATCATTTCTCACAATGTGTATTTGAAAAAGTTATACTAAAACGCATCCTCTAAAAAGTGAAATGGTTCTTTTAGAGGAAAAAGTGCGAATAAATAATATTGTGTTCTAAACTTCTTCAGAGAAAAGCAAGCGAAGTGAAGCGAATCGTGACGAGGAAGGTTCCTCAGATGAAGAGGAAGTTGAGAGGATTGTTGAGAAGAAACAGAAACGGCCATCATCACCATCATCTCCTGCTGAAGAAAAGGTAAAATATACTTTGAAACAAAGCTGTTTATAGGCAATTGAGCTAACCATCGCTACTGCTATTTTCAATCAACGTAGGAAAGTTCGGACGAGGAGAAAGACGAGAAAACTGATGATAAGAAGTCAGAGAAGAAAAAGAAACGAAAACACAAGAAACACAGCAGAAAACATAGGAAACACAAGAAACATAAATCTAAAGACAAAGGTTCTGATGTACGTTAATTTCTAAACTAAACTAAAGTAAATTTTAGATCAAGCAGACAAGCATCGTTGTTTAAACTGCATAGTTTTATCAACTCTCAACTGTTCTCCTTAGAGATCTAGTGAAAGCCATCCTCTCTTGGGGAGGAAGCCTAAAACTAAACTACATTTTTTCTTTGTTGGTGTTGTGTACTTTTTATCAACTCTCAACCGTTCTCCTTAGAGATCTAGTGAAAGCCATCCTCTCTTGGGGAGGAAGCCTAAAACTAAACTACATTTTTTCTGTGTTGGTGTTGTGTACTCAGGTGAATATGATGTTTGTGATGTTACTCTGAGTGTATATCCACACCGGGTGAGCTTGAAAAATATGCCCGGCCACGGTGGGAATCGAACCTACGACCTTTGGAATACTAGCCCAATGCTCTGCCAACTGAGCTACGCGGTCAGGCCGGTTCGAGTAAGAGTAACATCACAAACATTAAACTACATTTATACTGGCTAGCTGTATCAGTTCTAAAGGGTTCTCCTCACGGTGGTACAGTGCCCACTCTAGGAGGAAAACGGAATACCAGCTGGGAAACCTTCCGGCGTTTGGAAGCACTTCTCTGAAGCCAGATTATAATCAGAAAACTATATGTTAAACTAGGGTCGAACTGCACCAGTCACTATGCTACCAACACGCTTTACATTACTTACATTTATATAATATCTATACTTGGATATTGTAGAAATCGGAAAGTGAAGGTGAAGAAAATCTAGATCTGGAAAAATCACTTCGAGAGAAAGCACTGGAGTCTTTAAACCGCCATAATAAAGAACATGCCGATGATGATGATGATGATGAAGATGACTAGAATGAAGCCGTGGAAACATACTGAAATACCTAGCATTTTGTATCATCGTATATAGATGGCCCGTTTTGTTTTGTACTAGAGACGGACTATCTGTCTCATGGGTCATTTATCAAACCCAAGATGAACTATCCGGAAGAACTATCTAGCATAGTGCAGTCTTGTACTTTCAAACTATAAACAGATAGTTTATCTTGACGATTTAAGACAAAAACTGTCTTTTCTTAATACCCAATTTCATCCAGATGGATCGTCCGTTTCTATTATAAATCTGGCGATTATTGAGTCAGTCAGTGTGCATTGCAGATTGTAATATGTCATTCTTGGATCGAACATTTTATCACTTAAGTGTAGAAAGTTTTTCGGAGGCCAAAAAGGCGTTGTTGCCTGTTGCTATTTTGTTTGCTATTTTCACGCAACTTCTCCTGTAATGGTCCGATTTTTATGAGCTCTCGGCTAATTAGAATTTTTTAAATGTCACACGCAATTATGTGATGTGCAATAAAAATTACATGAGTTATTTTATGCGCTTTTAGAGAGCACCTTAGAACTTTTAGTATTTTTTTAAAAAATAGTTTCTAAAAGCCATTACGAGACGAGTTGTTTGGAATTTTATGTGATCTATATATTACTATTAGTGAGACAGAAATAGTAAAACTTTACAACGAATTACAAACTTCAAAAACTTGTTTGGTATCGTAAATTTGAAAATACGAGAATCTGGAAACCATGTAAAAAAAAACAATTTACCTTTTTTTTTGTAGTCATTATGGCGTGAAATGGCGTTATTGGGAAATACCACTAATACTTTGAAGCACTGCTTGGGGCGAATGAGTCGGCCGCCGAATAATCGTCGACATTTTAAGCGGATGGTAGCACGTGAGCGATCATGCGAATCGGGTCGTGTTTACTGAAATTTCTGAAAGGGACTTCAGATTTTTAAAAACTTTGGAGTTCTTTTTGTCTGTACAGCAAGAAAATGTCGAGCAACGACGCAGAGAGATTTGACGCGATGTTTTTGGCCATTGCACAGCAGTGTGAAGGCGGAATAGACGAGGTTTGTTCTTTTAAAGTGTATATACAATCCCTTGCAACAGGAAATATTTCTATGGCTGACAGTTTTAATATGCCAAAATATAAAGTAGTTGTTGAACTTATATATTTCTGGAAAGCTTTAGCATTATACCATATAAATTTATAAATGTATTGATAAATGCGTATAAAATACAGCATGTATTCCTTTGCAATTGCTGTATGGATATATAAATGATCTGACTGTTGGGCTGTTACATTTTACCCTCCCCCTCCCCGCTTTTGAAGATCCTCACCCCTCTGCAATGCAAACAAAATCTATGCAACTGACCCCTCTGGAAGTGTCTTCACACCCCCGCCCATCATTTTCTCCCATTTGAGTTTCTTCGGGGATGGATCCAGCATGATATGGTAGGGGGGTGCTCTGGTGCCGAGTTGTGTCGGTCATGTGTGCTGCCCGCCCATCAACTTGCTTCACCACTGCAAGCTTTGACTACAGTATTTGAATTGTGATTGTTGTTCACAGTTTGCTCATCATGTTATTACTCAAATTACTGTATCTCATTTTGTCTCTAATAATTTTTTGCTTTATCATGAAAAATAGCACCCAGTAAATCCATCCCTGTTTTCTTTGATTACCTGTCTATGATCTGGAAAAGTTGACCAATTAACACCCTTGGAAATTGAGGTCCTCGACAGGTATAATGGGAGGGAGGGGTTCAGGTATTAAATGTAATGACATGTGGTAAAAAGTAATATTTCATCTCTACCAGACATACTGTCCGGTGATAACACTGCCGGACATTTGCCTTTTTGTGTTGGACCATGTCCAGCCGCTTATTTTCAGGCTTGTGTGAAACACTGAAAAATGTGTTGAAAAACAACGCCTAGCCCAGTTTATTCGCATACTTTGCAATCATCTTCCTTCATATCCCACAAAATCTGCCTTAATTTAAGACAATGAAAATATAATAGTACTTTCAATTTCCCATAGTTACTGGATGTTTTCTTTGGATTTCTTGGTCGAAAGACAGATTTCTTTACTGGGGCTAGCAAAGGTGAATCAGAAATGGTATGTTTCTTGCATAATTTCTATCTTAACGTTACATGTTTGACAAGCAATAATATCGGCTTTTTGTTTTAGATCATCATGGATAAGTTTAGGGAGTATGAAAAGAAAACAATCAAGGTACTGTAAATTTAGTGTCAGCTAAATGCCAAAAAGGTAAATTATCATTTCTTTCAAATCCTATGTGAACCCCTGTTTGGGAGCCAAGTTGCAAATTTTGACAAAACATAATTGTGATCTCTTAATAGTTGTAATGGTATTTTTTACGGTTTCATAATTTGGCTTATTATGGGGGCTGACCCCCTTTCCCCCCCCCACCTCCAAAAAAAATCCGTGCCTATAGGAGAACTTGATATAAAGGTGTAAGTTTTTTAGTTGCCTGAATTGTAAAATGACAGTTTTTTGCATGGATCCCAGACCTTCGCCCCAAGACCATATCTAAGGTCCATTTTCTGTTTCATCTTTGAATATTGTTTAGGCAAAAGATAAGAAAGAACGAGAAATAAAAAGAGCGGCAAAAGCCAAAGCAAAGAAAGAGAAAGAAGAAACAAGAAAGAAAGAAGCTGCAGCAAGTGAGTCAAAAATAAAAGAACTGTCTGATGAAGAAGCTAAAAAACTGGAGGAAGAAATGGATGCTAAGAAAACAGACACCTCTGAAACAAATGGAAAGGTGGATGAAGTATCCGAGAAGAAAACAGAAGAAAAGGTTTGAATAATCTTGAAGACATTGATTCACATCAGTCCAGATGGAAAAAAAAACCCACTTCTTTGAGCCCTTCCTCAGGATAATTGAGCCCTTCCATGCCCAGTGATTTTTGCTTCCATCCATAGCACCCCCACCTCCCATGGAGGAACTTTGTGATGACCAAGGGGGGGGGAGAAAATCTACTTCAAATATAATAAAAAATGTAGGTTATCGTTCCATGTTTCGCGCACCAATATAAGTTAGGGTTAGGGGTTAGGTATTAGGGTTAGGTTAGGGTTACGGTTAGGAATAGGTTGTGTATATACGTGTATGGAGGTATCCAGTTAACTTTTCAGTACACTATAATATCCATTACATAACGTTTACTATATTGGTGCACGAAACATGGAACGATTACCAGAATGTACTTAGGATATACAAAGGGAGAGAGGGGTAAAGTTTTAATTTCCTCTGGGGAGGGGGGAGTTGGTCCTAGATCCATTGATTGTGAAACAAACTATCCATGTTTGGGGTTTTCCCATTAGATTCTGATTATATCATGCTTCTGCTCTGTCTAATGCCACATTTAGGAAGACAGTGATGAAGATGAGGACTCAAAAGGAAAAATTAAGCCAAATGTTGGAAATGGGTGTGATCTAGAAAACTATAGTTGGATCCAGGTCGGTGGAGAATGTGTTTACCAATCTCTCCGAGATATAATGGCAACTACTTATTTACAATGGATAATTACATTGTCCATTTCAATGGACCATTTGCATTATAGACTAAATTTTGATTTAAACAAGTCTAGACAAAACATTCATCACAGCTTGAAAGAGCATCAACATTCATCACAGTTATTTCAGTCATTTTGTATTACAAACGGGAAATTGATGCCCCAACACCCGATTTGGCTGTCAATTTTTCGTGCGTAATACAAAATGACTGAAACACGGCAAACTTCGCAAGGCTATATTATCCGCATTTTACAACATTTCTCAACGAAACTTTGGAATCTTACTAATTTTGTGATGCTCTTTCAAGCTGTGATGAAATTTTTGTCTAGATCAAAATTTAGTCTATAATGCAAATGGTCCATTCATAGCTATTGTTTTGTGTGTACGAATTCAGAGCTGAATTGATTGAATTTTTTTGTATTTTTAGACTCTATCTGAACTTGAGGTATGTTTTCCAACATGGCTGCCACCTGTATTCAAAGTGTCATTTCAATATTGTGGTTTTGTTTACTACAAAATAACATTCTCCAGTATTTTGAACAGATCATCATATTTTCTTATGAATGTGCACTGGATTTAGATACGAGTTCCATTGGGTGTTGAAGTTAAAGTGAAGAGCAAAGATGTTATAGTTGACATTAAAAAGAAGGTGATTGATTAGTTCTTTTTCATGTTTCTTATGTTTTGTTGCATAATCCCAGACCTGTGCCATCCAGATGCGTGGATGTTTTCTGGAATGACACATTGTCTTTAAAAAAAGATGATATAGAATGACCCATTGTCTTCTAAAACAATGATATAGAATGACCCATTGTCTTTTAAAACAATGGTATAGAATGACTTCTAAAACAATGATATAGAATGACCCATTGTCTTGTAAAACAATCGTGGTATAGGATGACCCATTGTCTTTTAAAACAATGGTGTAGAATGACTTCTAAAACAATGATATAGAATGACCCATTGTCTTGTAAAACAATTGTGGTATAGGATGACCCATTGCCTTTTAAAACAATGGTATGGAATGACCCATTGTCTTGTAAAACAATGGTATATAATGACCCATTGTCTTTTACAACAGTTGTATAGAATGGCCCATTGTCTTTTAAAATTCTTCAATGGCAACTGACAAAATCTTTGCACCGATACATATTTCCATAATTTAGCATATTAAAGTTGGTTTGAAAGGTCAGCCAATAATTGATGGGGAATTGTGTAAAGAAGTAAGTATGATTTCATTAAAGGTTTCTCATTTAATATTTGATTGAAAACCTGGCTGTACTGATTGAATAAACTGTGATTCATAATTACCATCCACAGGTGAAAATGGAAGAATGTATCTGGGTGTTACAAGACCAGAAAACTGTTGTTGTTACTTTAGAAAAGGTACAGTATGTGTCCTGTATACCTTTATGTCTGTCTTTGAATCTCACAAACAACAACTGCCAGCCTGTAATTTAAAGCAAATTAAAAACTTTATTCCAGGTAAACAAAATGGAATGGTGGAACAAACTTGTAACGACCGATCCGGAAATAAACACGAAGAAAGTTCAACCTGAAAACTCCAAGGTACTCCAAACTTTAAAATAGAAGTTCACATGTGATTTCCACTACCGCCTAAATACCAGAATGGCGCCTTTCATTTTATTATATATATATTACTATAAAAACATATATTACTATAAAAATTTTTGCGTGCGAAGTTAAACGAGGTCCGGATCGATTTGTTTTTGAATTGTTCTCAATTTTTAAAACTTTTCCAGATTTTCTTTTAATTATCAATCAAATGGTTAGGGTTAGAGGGTTAGATAAGCCATTAGGGTTGGGAACAGTTTATTTCATAAAAATTCAACTTTAAGTCTTTAACTATATAAATAAAGTGGAAGGTGCCATTCCGGTATTTAGGCAACCATCAACCAATCAGATGCGTATGATATATTTGATTAGCCAATCAGATGCATACGAAGCCAGGTAGCGGTAGTGTCCAAATTTGAACCTCTATAAAGATGAAGGAAAGACAGATAGTTTAATAGCTAGTTCTCTTCGTTCTATAAATGCATTTTGTTTGTTTATATTCTAAGTTATCTGAGCTTGATGGTGAAACACGTGGCATGGTCGAGAAGATGATGTATGATCAAAGACAGAAAGCGGTAAGCAAACATTGTAAATGCAGAACTTCCAAATAAGAACATTTTGGGGTGCATGCGTTGTTAGCCTGGGTAGCAGGCGCTATTTGCGGACGGTGTATTGGAGAAATACAGCCTGCCCCCAAGTATTTGGATTGATGGTGTTCATGTATTTTTGTCTAGATGGGTTTACCAACTTCAGATGACCAACAGAAACAGGATGTCCTTAAAAAGTAAGAAATAATTGAAAACTTACTGTGTCAGACGCACGTGGACTTATGATCATCGCAATGTATTATACAGGGTTCGTACAAAACTTGAAAGTCCTTGAATGTCCTTGAATTTGAAAACAAAAATTCAAGGCCTTGAATGTCCTTGAATTTGTAAAGAAGTACGTGAATATCCTTGAATTCTTCTTGCTTTAGTTTTTGGATATTTTCTGAAATTGTTTGACATTCAAGACGGACATTTTGTTGAACTGATTTTGCGTGTTCATATCTGACGGTTCTGACCTCATTATATAAAGTTACGTTTTGAACAATTCAACGTCAGATTTTGCTGATTTCTAACGCCTTCTTCAGTATTTAGTCCTTGAATTTGCTGATACATGGCCTTGAATGTCCTTGAAAAGTCCTTGAATTTGACTCTTCCTGACATGTACGAACCCTGATTATAGCGATTGATAGTCACAGGTTTTCTTGCAAAATGAGAGGGTCAGTAGAAATTGAATAGCACAAAACCACAATCCAAAAGGGAAAGTCGCTAGATAGTGTGTGGCATGCTTTCTTCAATATGCACCGTTTCTTTTTCTTCCATGTACGCGCTAATTAGAACCACATGAAATCGTGCTGACATGACCGTTTAGTTGATCTTCAATAGACTTATGCATAATGACGTCACAAGGCTTGATGCCCGCGAGGAATGCTGGTCTTAGTAGTCATCGCCCGGGAAAATTTTGATAGTGGCCATTTTGAATTGTTTAATTTTCCCCGGCGATAACTACTAAGATCAGCATTCCTCGCGGGCATCAATCCTTGTGACGTCGTTATGCATAAGGTCTATTAACGCTTATATTAGACTTATGTTAGACAGGTTTAGATCAAGGACGTGGAAAAAAAATGGCGTCAAAACAAAATGGCGGCATATCCATACATGGGCACAACACGTCATTTTCACGTCGTCTTTGACGTGCGTGTCCTCGATCTAAATCTGTCTATTATTTGCATTAAAGACGATCCGTGTTACGGATGGAAAGCTTTGTAATAAATAGACGTGCATGGTGTTTTCAGAAACCGAAAGTTACATTATTATTCGCCATACAAAGCTACAAAGAACTTAGAAATGAAAAGTTATTCACAGTTGCACCAGCGGTACTTTTTAACCTTACATTATTGCACTACCTCTGCGACACATGTACAACATGTTCATTTTTTAGGTTCATGGAACAACACCCAGAAATGGATTTCTCACAAGCCAAATTTTCATGAAGAAATGCCCTGACCAGCTGATGTTCCATGATATATAGTTATACGATCTCAAGAACAATTAGAGACTTTGGTAACTATATATTAAGACAATATCACGTTTGATCATCACTGTTACATGCAACATTTCTTATGCTGGATTTGCGTTATAAATTTTACGACGAACTAGAGAACGAGGCAAATTTTCAGACAGACGCTCTGAAATATTAATTAAGATATACAAGGAAAATTATGTAGATTATATAGGCCAAAGATTGTTTTTAAGTTTATATTCTGAAAGTGAAGAACCCACTTGCATGATAAGATTTTTTTCCTGGAAAAAATAGTCGAAGTCCTTTCCTTTTAATTTTGTCCATTTTAATGTGCCCGAAATTCGTTTTTAATGCCTTTGAATACTAAAAAATATCTCTGCTTCTGAATGTCTACGATGGCAAGATTTTTACCACAAACTTTTTAAGATGATTTTTTACTTCAGGATTACTGCAATTAATGTGATTATGCGCTATGGCGCTGCGTGACTGATTAATATTAATAAGGTATGATGTCAAATAAACTTTGGCAGATGGTAATTATGAATTCGTTTCTTTCGGCTTTGTTTACGGGACAAAAATATTCGTAGCAGGTCGTATCTTGATGGCTTCTTTAAAAGATGTTGTATTTAAACTACGAGATGTCGAAGCTGACATGACAACTGCGTGGAATGAAGCTTTTCATTCAATTCGAACTGATTGCAACATTGAGGTAAGCATTAGAATTATCTTGCATAAATTACAACGTTGATTGCTCTGTTTTCATGGAATATTCCGTCTACAGAATATAGTTCTTTCATACGATGTAAACAAGGAGCATCCTAAAATGTATACTGGTGCGATCTCTACATACCTTGGTTGTTATTTGAACCCGAATCCTTGCCTTGGCTATTAAAATGCGATGGACAGGCTATTTAATTACTCGCAAGTCAATCGCTTCGAACTGTCATAATTTTACAGTTTCCAAAATAATTCTTACAAATTTGATTGTAAAGTTTAAGATGTTTCTTAAAAACATAATGGGCGTATTTTGAAAGAAAATTTATTTCCACGGCATCGGTGTAATTTCTCTTTATCCTAATCGATAATTGAAGCAAACTTTTAAGTCTTTTAACTGAAGCTCCAGTGAGTTGTATATGCATATATCTCTGTATATTGGCCCATATGTACCGCAATCTCCGTATGGACCAGACAAAATAACTTTGATCTATAGACTATTGCACCGTATTGGCTCAAGGTGTAGAAACTAACGGGCCATTGACCATCATTTTTATTTTAAGAAGATGTTTCCTTTGCATGTACCGCTATCTCAGATTGTGGTCGTTAGTTATCGGCTATGCAAGAAAAATAATGCGATTTTGATAAATCATGAACCGTGACGTATTGTCATATATCAAAGTGATCCCGTCTCTGCTTCGAGACAAATGGAGGCCATGCAAACAGGCCTTAATATTGCCATTGTTGCACTGATTCTGCACTCTTCCACAAGCTTTGATGAAATCACTGTGGAGAAGTTTTGTAATGAGTAAGTTGCACACTTAAAATTTATAATTTTTGACTAGGGTTTCTTAGCCTGCATGTAGAGTACGTGAAATGCAAAATAAGATCTGCGTTAAAATGGGTTAATCTTTAATTTCTGTTTTTCAGATTTCTTGTGGAGATATTTTCAACGACGCACCAGCTGCTGACGCCATAGTTTCGCCGACAAACAGTTTTGGTTTCATGGACGGGGGGATAGATTTGGTAAGGATATGCCTAATAGCTTGGCCATTGCCATTCAATTCATATTTTCAGGTAACTCGATGTCTTGTTACCGCATTTCTGATAATGTATATGTGAATTGGGTGGTAACAGGCTTGAACAGGGCATCGTATTTCTTTTTATTGCTGAGCTAAGTAAAGTGTTCATTCATGAAAAACCTTTGCGTGTGTTGTTTTCAGAGATATTCCGAACATTTTGGTTGGCAATTACAAGAACGTCTGCAGAATTTTCTGAGAAAGGAATATTTTGGAGAACTACCAGTGGGTGAAGCAGTTATAATTGAGACATTTGAAGATGATGTTCCAGAGATTGAACGTGATTGGATGAAGAACCGTGACACAAATGAAGGGCAACCAATACATTTTCTCATCAGCGCACCAACTAACAGAGTGCCTAGTGATGTACACGATACTGTGAATGCTTACCTTGCTTTTAGAGCTGTCTTACTTGCAGGTGTGAATGTTCACTTGTTTCCTTAAGCCCTGGACAAACTAGGAAACATTGTTGTGGAAACATTTGTGATTCTCGATATTTCCTCAAATGTTTCCCTGTTTGCCCACCCGTGGAAACATTGTTGCGGAAACAAAATTTGCTTCCCGAGAAGCAAAAATGTTTCCTACCAACTTCAGAAACATTTTATGTTTCCCTATGTTTCTCACTAATGTTTCCTAGTGTTTGCCCACTCTGGGAAACGTGGCGAAACATTGGCAGGAAACAATGTTTCCTAGTTTACCCAGGGCTTTATTATCTCTGTACGATCGCAGATCGTAAACCTCTAATCAGGGCGAAATGTTAAACAGCTGCAGGAAATTCGTTTGAATGAAGATTTGCTATTGAAAATTGGAAAGAAACCTTAACACCCATGTCCCACTATGGGCGCAACAACATATGATTGACAGACATTATTCCTTGAATTTAAAACCATGGTCAGCTAGAACACTATGTTTATGCACATGCAGATTTAACACATAAATACTCCGTTAGTCTGCAGGGAATTTGTCTCCAGGTTGTGCTCCCAGGAATAAAATTTTTCCCCTGCCTTACCTCTAGTTTTAACGCCCCCCACCCCACCTGAATTTTACTGGGTTTCACTAAGTATTATCGTATAACAGAAGGTTGTTCAGAAGTTAGGCCAATGAAAACTGATATCATGTTTCTCGTCCCCGCCCGCATGGGATTTATCTGCCGCACGAAAATTTTTCATTATTCATTATTTTTGAAAAATAGGCTTAAAAAACACCAAATTCATCTCCAGATCAAAGTCTTATTGCTGCATTCCGCAAGCGCAACTCAAATTGTATCTTTCTAAAGATATCACTCGGCACAATGCCTCTATTTTTCATGTCAGCCATGGTATTTATAAATTAAAATGAATTATACACCGATTTACTTCAGATTTTTATCATATGGAGTTTTTACTGGGTCAAGGGAATTATTGACAAGCAGAATTCAAACACAAAAAAATAATGAAAAATGAAAAGATCCCGCTCTAAATTTGTGAAAATTGTGGACGAGAAACATGATATCAATTTTCATTGGCCTTATTGGAGTGAGAAAGTAGTAAATTATTATTGACTATTGTATGAGTTTGAATTATTCAGAGTCAATTCACAGTTAAATAAAAACCTTGGCCTTTAACATAAATATATAATTTTAATTCCTTCATTATGTGTTATAGGTCTTATAGTCTTGTTAATTGGTCTAGTTATAAGGCCGATTTACTAGACAACTTTTGCGTAAAACTGTCGCATGCAACCTGCTTACAACTTGAGTTGTACTGTGTAAATCAAGCATACAACTAATCAACGTTGTCGTAGATGAGTTGTGTGCTTGATTTATACAGTACAACTCAAGTTGTAAGCAGGTTGGTTGCGACAGTTTTAGGCAAAAGTTGTATAGTGTAAATCGGCCCATATGTTGTATTCTTAAATTTTTTCGTTATTTTCTTCAGTGCACCGCCATAACAGAAATAGGAATAAACGCAAGATCAAGAGTGTGCTCTGTCCTGGCTTGGGCACTTCGGGAGGTCAAATGCTTTTTGAAAAATGTGCAAGGCAGATGAAGATTGCTTATGAAGTTTGTGTTCTCGGGGATTGTAAAGCAATTTTAAATCCCGACTCTCTACTGGAAGTTCATAAACATCATTTGTACATGGGAGGAATGGATAGATTTGTTCATTGTAGTGACGCTTCTGCAAAATAGCCATATACCTTGACAACATATAGTTATAATTTAAGATCAGATTTAATGGCAATTTATTAGTTATATTTTGAAGTCAGTTTTAGTGACAATCTATTTTTGTGTGTGCGAAACAGTAGCTTGAAATTGAAGCAGACAATGTAACCCATTGTAAATAAGTAGTATTTATTGCCAGTCAGTAAATTCGGGAAGTGTCTATATCCATTCAAATAATTTTATGGCCAGTTTTTAATGCCAATCCGGAAATCAGTATCTCTAGCAACAATTTTCAGAGATACACATGTCAAGATGGAATTCAAGTTGTATATTACGCTGTGGTTTACCATTTAACAAATATAAAACATTTTCCGTGTTGATATACAGTTATATCAACACGAGTGGAAATTGAGGAAACGAGAAATTGTGTGGAAACACGACGCCCGAAGGGCGGAGTGTTTACTGTTTTCACACAATTTCGAGTTTTCCCAATTTCCACGAGTGTTGATATAACTATATATCAATACGGAAAAAATGTTTTATATTTGTTTTATAATATAGCACAAAGAAATATAAAAAAAGAAACTTTCCAACATTTCCGTGTTGACATTGAGTTATATCAACACGGTTCTTAGGTGCTGATTACATGGTGCCGAGCTGGCCCGGTTAACCGGGCTGACTCGTTTGTTTAGGACCTTACTGTGGTTTTAAAACTCGCGTAAAATAAATTTGCGATAAATAATTGGTTTAGTATAGATGCAAAATCATCCTAAACCCGATTTAAAACTCATTTTGCGGCCCAAGGAAGATTTTCGTGACATTTTTCAGCCCGGTTGACCGGGCTGGCCCGGTCCATGTAATCAGCCTCTTAGCCAATCAGCGTTCAGAATATACAAACGCTATATTATAGTATATCTTCCCATTTTCAAAGAATGAATTTATATTGATCCACGAGTCGCAATGCCCTGTGCATTCCAGAAGCCATCCGTATTAAAATTTGCCTGGCGTAAAGCACTTCTAAGGTCTATTGCTCGGCACCAATGGCAATGCTTGGCACTCATCTCGTGTCATTCTGATAATGCCATAGGTTACCATAGGTCATTTTTGTTTGGTCACGCTGACATATTAAACAACACTGTTGAACGTCTTGAACTCAGTGTTAAACTAACTTTATTTATACTCTAGTTCTAAGCTGTTCTTCCTAGAGGTCCAATTTATATATTGTTACCTCACTACAGGGTGAAAGGATCTAAAATACTGGATAACTTTATCTTCGAATGGTCAACACGTCATTTTCGCACCATCAAAATGCTTGCAATCACTACAATTAAATTACTGGGAACTAAATGGCCCTAAATACAAGACTCCTACATATAATGACAAGATTTGATATGTCCCAAACTTACAATTCCCTAGTATATGTTACTATTGTTAATGACATTAATCTGTTGTGCAGGGCCCGCGGAGCGTATTAGAGAGTGGGGGGGCTAAATCATCAATAAAACCCCCAAGGAAAATGTTCAATTTTCTATTACCTTAAACGCTATTTTCTGCATTTTTGGAGGAACTTTAGCAAAAAATCTCCAAGACCATCGTCATAAAAAGTAACAAAATTTAGACCTTTTACAAACTTCTAAGCAATCCTTTTACTAGGCTACTTTATAAACTAAGAGTATCTTAACAATTTTAAACCCTCCTTAAATTTAGAAAGTTTCATTTAGATTTCTATTTTAATAATTTTGGCTGTCAGTGCTGGAAGCTCCCCAGCCTGTCTCAAGTGGTCCCTGTTGTGGTGTTAAAGACTGCGCTATTTTGCAAAGGTATTTTGTATATATATACATAAAATAGATGAAAATTACACAAAACTGCTGATACTACATTAAAAATTAAAATTTCTATATAAATTTTCTTAAAAAATATAAAATATATAATTATTTGAAAAAAAATTAAATTAATTATCCGGGATATCAGATAAGTCAACACGTGATCAAAGTGTTTCAATATGGTCTCTTTTCCGGGGATTTTTATGGCTCCTTTTAAATTTGCAATTTTTTGATTTTTTACCACTGTAAACCTGGTCTGAAGGATCAAAGCTCAAAAGAAAAGGTTATTTTAATGATAAGTATTATTTGCATATTTAAATATTCTTTATCCTGTGGAATGAAACGTAATATATCGAATATTTTTGTTGCATTTTGCGTCTCCAGAGTGAATCATTTTTAATGTCGACGTTTTGGTTAATTGTCTTTATTCAATGTTTTGTTCAAACAATTGGCAATGACTTATGAATAATACTTTGGCACGGGTAAGTTAACGATGCATGATATAATTATAAACAATATACTTCAGGACTAAATGGATTATTGACTTCATATGTCAAATATGTATAATATACACACACATACTCGGAATAAAAGCTTTCCTATTTCGTAAAATTGGCAACGTTTATAACACTAGATATTTTGCTATGCTGGAATTCAAATTATTGTGAATACAACAATTTCAAAACGTAGGAAGTCGCTTCTTTTCAAATTTCGCTTTTGTTTTGAATTCAATGGCTATGTCTACATTCGCACCTTTGGTGGTATTTTAAAAACAGACGGCTACAGCTGTAAGAGCACAATTTCTTTGCTTTTGTGACTCTGTTGCTGAAACAAATAATTTTGAAAGGAAATAGGAGGAAATATATATTAAACTTTCTTTTATATGCCAGCTGTTTCAAATTAATTCAAAATTTGTACTTGGCATATTTCTAAGTTTATACTATTGATATATATAATTTTATGACATGTATAATTTGGGAGGAACAGTCAAATGCAACTTGTCAAAAATGACCCAGTGCGGATACATGATTTTCCATGAGCCATTGGCTGATACAGTTGTACAAGGTTATTAATTTCCCATGTTGTAGTTTGACGTAAAGTGCATTTGATTTTCAAAACTCTTACCAAAATTTTAGCAAATTTTTCAAGAAATGAAAGAAAATAACTTCCCACCTACTTTATTGTAACCTATTGAGCACCTGTGCTCTCCTCTTGACAAGTAAAATTATCTGGTTTTAGACAGAATAAAACAATAAAGTAGGCCGCATTTGGGGGTAAATATTCAGGCCAGCCTTGCCTCACATCCGAAATTAGTATTCTATTGCCTTCCTGAGTAAAAGATTACAAAAACATAAACAAGACATTCTATTATGTCTTAAGGCCCGTTTAAGGCCTTAATGTTAACCCATTAAGTTGCATTGCACCCTACTTTATTATTCTACTCTATCTAATGCCAGAAGATTTTACTCGTCAAGGGGAGAACACTAGTTGACTAGTGCTCAGTGGGTTAATCTAGGATGCCCACATTGGGTATTCTTTTGATATTTTAACTCTTTACTAAAGCTCAAAGATGGACCATGAATTGCTTCACAATGATCGAGGAGACTATGATCTGAGATTGAGTAATAAAGTGAAGAAAGACAAAGATAAGACTGAACCAGGTTAGGTCTTAAGCGATACGTCACTGCCGGCAATAGAAGCTATGTATAGTACATCTTTTGTTGGGGTATAT